GAGACGGATCGTCGACGAAGCGATCGGAAAGGAGCGAGCACTCACTGGCAGACGCGCGCAAACACACTGAACCACACGCTCGACGCTCGTCACGCTACTAAAGCCGAGAGAGCTGAGGCCCGACGCGCGCCGCTCCTAGGCAGCGGGCCCCGTCCAGCGACGACGCGGGAGCGCGCGCGAGGGTGGGGGCTGCTCCGGCACTCTAGCGATGGCGACGACACCCTCGCGTGCGGAGAGGGATTGATCCGAAAGGAGAACACCTCCTCTTCTTCTTTTCTCATCTGTCGGCCTCTTTCGGCCGGAGAACCCCGATCGAACTTTTATCGGACGGGAAGATTAATGGATCTCGCACGTTGCCACGCGTCTCGTGCACCTGGCGTGAATGTCGATGTTTTTTTTCTTCTTTCTTTTTTTATATATCTCGATGCGTAAAGTTGTACGACCGCGAAAGCGCAGAGTTTAATGATTAGCCCCTCCAAGGGGCACGGATTAATGAAATGTGTTAATCGCGCGACGGAATAGGTACCTGCTGGAGAACTTGTTGAGTTCCCACTGCGGAGAAATCAACCCCCCCCCTTTTTTCCTCCCTTTATAGACAAGTGCGCGTGATACTTGTTCAATAGATGCGAGCAGATCGAAACCGGTCCGGGCCCATCGCTCGCAGCTGACTCGGCACGGAGCCGAGCGAGCGAGAGAGAAAATGAGAGAGTCGGAGAATCATGCGCAGGAAGAAGAGAGAAGGAGAGGGTAGCGCGCTAGGGGTGAACGCGCACATCGAACAGCGCCGGTTAAGTTAGGTTTCCACAGGGGCGGTGAACCTCGTCCGAAGTCCTCACCATTGTTGGCCGGTGATAGCGATAGCGATCCCGCGCTATTTTCGAGCGCAAGTTGTACTCGGAGGGCGGAATCGATATCGAAAATTGTCGCGGTTTCTCGAACTCTCCACAATCGAAACATCAAAATGCACCAATCCCACTTTATTATTCACGCTATTGACAAATTTATGTCAGATTGTTTTCCTAATGAACAAAAAATTTCAGTGTCGCGATGATAAATAGTTGATCACTAGAGAATGCCATTGAAAAGTCAAACGTCAATCAACTTTGATGGCAGTCAAGTCGGACTAATGGGGTCACTACAGTCAATGGATAAATAAGAAATTCACGATTGTAAATTATGGTGCATGTATAGAAAAGAAAAAAATAGATAAATAAAAATGAAATAAAAAATAAGTAGTATAAAAATAAAAAATGAATAAATGATAATAATGATAATAATGATAATAAATGATAATAATAATAAACTAATGATAAAAATAAAAATAAACCATTCAATATTTATAGTTGTTTATTTGTTTTTTAAAAATGTTTGTATTGTCATTAGTTATCTTTAAAAAAAAGATAATAAAATTGTTATTAAAAAAATTTTAAAACCCCCAAAAACACCAGTAAATGGCCAGTAAGCTTCAATTAATAATCGATGTATTTATAAATAATCATATAAATTTTTCCTTTAAATAGAAAAAGAATATACATTTTTAAATATATAATTATAATTTAAATACACATGTTTAAAGTACATTTTCTTTTTACTTAATTTAATTACATTTTCAAATAAAAAATTAAATCTGTAAATTGTAAATCTGAAAATTGAACATAAAAAATATCAATTAATTCGCAATTTTTTTTGAAGTCTTATTATTTTAATATTTTTCTTACTAGTGATTATTCAGTGATATTTCCATTTCATTTACATTTTCATTTTATATGATAAATTTTTTTGAACGTATTGATTAATTATAAGATAAAGAATTTCTCAGGACTTAAAAACTTTACTATTTTTACAGCCAATTAACACGGTCCCTCTCTTTTCTCCTCTCTCGCCCCCGTTTCTCTCTTCCACATATATATCATGATGTCCAGATGCACTCGACCTTATTTCCATTTCCGCGAGTCTTTCTCGCTCGCGATAAGAATAGGAAGGAAATAACGCTCATCTCCGGGGCGACGGCAGAATCGTGAAAAATCTCTTGCCGGGCGTTCAATCCATCTCTCCGCATGCTAATCCACGATTTCTCGCCAGGTGGAATCCGACGGAGGATTCGAAAGAGATCCCCCCGGCGTTCGTCTGGACGGTGCATCTCGCACATTCGACGCTTCTCGGAATAGCAAAGGAGGAGGGAGGGAAAAAGGGACGGAAAGCGTATTGAGTGACGTTACGAAGAAGATCCGATTTGTGTTCCAGATACGGAACCGGGTCCCTCGGATGCGAGATGCGCGTCCGGATCTCCGGATGCAGATGGATTAGATTGATCGAAGAACGGTCCGGGCTGACTCGTGAAACACAGGCCTCCTAATGGCCGCGCGTGTTCGCTTTCCAATTAAAGCGCGCGAAACAATGATATCGCACATCACCGCGATAACGACGTTATAGAAATCCGTGCTTAATGGTTCCCTTCCCGGACGTTTCAATGATATCAATTTACGATGCGTGGAAAAGTATATATCGCGCGACATTTTATCTTCCGCTCGCAATGGCTTTTTATAGCTCGCTAATCTCGTGAAAATTAAAATTTGTCCTTAATGTGTAAAATAAGTTGCCTCGCGTTTTTTCGAAAACGTTCTCGGACGAGGGGCGACTTTTAGTTCTCGCGTTGATGGTCACTGCTCATTAATCCCGTCGAAATCTCGTCGAACGATCCGGACGGCGGTGCATCGAAATCCGCGGCAGCAACGAGCGAGGATCCCGTTACGAGCTTCGCGTCGGCCGAGCGACCAATTAAGAAGACCTATTCCTAATTAGTTCGAATAGCCGCGACTTAATTTGATTTGGCTCGAAAAGCCGGAGGCTTTTTCGAGCGTGTCTAACGAGAGCCTCGCGTCCGCCCGGGATCGCTCGCTTTCCGGAAACGCGCCGTCGTTTTCAGCGAAAGCGTCACTCCCCCTCCTCCTCCTCCATCACACATCTTCTTCTCTTCCGCGCTCATTTTATTGCGCCGCGAATCGTGTTCGACAACGCGTTAAAAATGTATTATACCTATTTTTACATTTACAACGAAAAAATTATGGAAAACTTACAAATTCCTAAATCGCACTTAAAAATAATACAAAAATATTTAATGACAGAACGTGAATAAAAAATTATTTAAATAGACAAGTGGAAGTGTGCTCTAATAGAAATGTTAATTAAGAAATAACGACAAAAATCTCAATTTTTTTTTTTATATACTTTAAGTATTTGAACTTATTTATATAAAGTTCATTGCGATGCAGAAATTATTCTGAGTAAAAATTTAATTTTATTTGTACCATCATTCGTTTTGCTTGTATTCTTAATTAAAATTTAATTTTTATTTACAGAATAACTAATCTGCATCGCAGTAAAACTTTACATAAATTATTTTAAATGTTTAAACTATTTATATAAAAGAATTGAGATTTTTCTCATAATTTTTTTAATTACACTTCTATTAGACCACACTTTTACTTATTTATTTAAATAATTTTTAACCCAATTTCTAAATCACCGCAAAATTTTTTCTATTATTTTTAAGATCTAGAATAATCTACGATTCTTTCATTGAAAATAAATTAATTTAAGTTAAGAAATTCGTGAGAATTAACTTAATTTTCTTCGTTCACGATATCCTATTCCTTGATTTTATCGTCAGCAGCTTTATTCAGTCCTCCAATAATAAAAATAAAAGAAGAAATATGTAAGCTCAACAGATTAATAAGTCTCGTTTTGTTTTGGATTTCACGGAACAATTCGACAAACAAATACGCGACGAAGGTCTGTTACCGAGAAAGGGGCTCTCCGAGGGATCAGTCTGATAAGTGAATTCCGCGAGATCATCGCTGTGTTTACGATCGTTTATGATGCGTATCGCGGAACGATCCGGCTCGATAATAACCGCCCCGTATCGTCGTAAAACACGCGCAGGATTCTCGCAATCGCATCGTTGAGGCTCGATGTGAAGCAACACGACGTGAACGCATCTCTCTTCGACGTTTCGGCAATGTCTCGTCGCACGCGCGAGCCTCAACACGCGGCTCTACTCGGAAATCGTATCTTGCCAATTCGGAATCTGCGGAATCGCGTCCGATTTCCGAGAGGCGGACAATAACGCCATTAGCATGATCCCATTAGCTGATTGTCGACGCGACGAATACAATGTATTCGCATACGTCGCGCTTCGCAATGAAATTAAAGCGAAAGAGCGGGACGCGCGCGCGCGCGCGCGCGCGTCGCAGCAACAAAGAGCGTCTTGTTCCGCGTTCGAGCCCGAGACAACAACAACTCGGGGCTGTTCTCGGAACCGCTTATCTCTGAAACGAGGTACCTTCGCCGTCGTGTCATGAAAACGAGATCTCAGCCGAGGACATGGTCTCGCATTGTTCGCGATCGCATTGTCAAAACGCGCCAACGAGGCCGAGAAGCTCGATGACATTGTGATCTCCGAGGATACACGGCTCTGTCGACGGCAGATCTCCCACGAGGAATCTTCATCCCACGGCCGTGTAACAACCGTGCGATGGTCGCCAATCGAATGTGCGCAGGGACGCCACACCCTGCGCGAGTCCTTCGATTTTCACCCGCTGCGCCCGAAATCCCGGAAAGCGGAACGCCCTCCCCTTTCCTCTCTGTCCTAGGCGTCCTCGGTAGTTCTATCTTGTATTTAAAACCGTCTTAAAGTCCGGCGTCGAAAGAGATTTTATCCGGCCGACGAGATAATCGTGCAGCATCTCGAGAGATTGCACTTAAGTCAGTTTTAAATATTAGTTTCAGAGTTTAAGTAAAAAGAATAATTTAACTGGAGTATCATAATCTAATTACATACAGATCTGAAAATAATTTTGTTGAGTCATTAAAATTGATTATGTAAAATACTCAAGTTAGATGCCAGTGTATCTAATATTTTTGCTATTAATATCATGCTAAGGATGTATAAAAGTAGCAAAAAGTTTTCGAAATTTAAAAACAACATACGAATGTACATTTGTTGTATTTATATATTATGTAAAATAATAAATAAATAGATTTGAATTATGAAGAAATTGAAGTATAAGCAATATAACATATTTTTAATATTTACATGAAAGAAAATACTTGTAATTAATATTTTTCCCAATAGATAATCAAAATTTTTGATCATGATTATCTTCTGAAATTAAACAAGAAATAAAAGTAATTAATCATTTATAAAAAGATTTTGAATAAATCGAATAAATTAAACATATCAAATTAATAATTTTAAAATAAAATATATATCCTAAATATCCTATTTAGTTCTTATTAATTATGTTGTAATACGTTGTTATTTTTTTCTAAATAAAAATTAATATATACAGTTAAAAATTAAATTTTCGATTCAGAAAATTGTGCTTATATTGTTAGTTTTTACTTAAATACTCAAATAAATACTCAAATAATGATAAAAAACAAAAACTTACAAAACTTTTTATGTTTTTGTCAATGTTTTCATATATGATATATATATATATATATATATATTACCTAAAAGTACCTATTCCTAAAGTACCTAAAAGTTAC